AATGTCCGTCTAAAAGTTTTCCATCAGCTCTAAAAGATATTACTCCTAGCAACACTTCTAGGTGGAATGACTTCAGTGGTGGGATTCAAATGTTTTTACTACCGGTTCTGTGGACGTGGCTTGGTAGGCGTGGCTTGGTGGGTGTGGCTTGGTAGGCATGGTGTAACTTGGTGGGCGTGGCTTGGTGGGTGTGGCAGGGGAAGGATCCTGCACAATCTCCATTCCCTCCCCACCCCACTCACCTGCTTTCCAGCTCCGTTCTCCTGAGCAGGGCAACCAAAGAAGACCCAGCCGATCAGCTGGGACTCAATGGGAGGCAGAGAAGAGATGGGGGCGGGGCCAGTCAGAGGCGGGATTTGCCGGTTCTTTGAACTACTCAAAATTTCTGCTACCGATTCTCCAGAACTGGTCAGAACCAGCTGAATACCACCTCTGGTTCCTTCCTTTTGTTCCTCTCTTCCTTCCTTCCTCTCTTCCTTCCCCTTTTGTTCCTCTCTTTCTTCTCCTTTCATTCCTGTCTTCCTTCCAGTGGTGGGATTCCAAATTTTTTACTACTGGTCCTGTGGGTGTGGCTTGGTGGGCGTGGCAGGGGAAGAATACTGTAAAATCTCCATTCGCTCCACACCCCGCTAACCTGCTTTCCAGCTCCATTCTCCTGTTCAGGGCAACCAAAGAAGACCCAGCCGATCAGCTGGGACTCGGGGCCGGGGAATAGATGGGGGCGGGGCCAGTCAGAGATGGGATTAGCCGGTTCTCCAAACTACTCAAAATTTCCACTACCGGTTCTCCAGAACGGGTCAGAACCTGCAGAATACCACCTCTGAGCAACTTGCCTTCGGAAATTGTAGATGTTCCAACACTGAAAGTTTTTAAGAAGAGATTGGGCAACATTTGTCTGAAACTGTAATTGAGAAGTGGGGGTTGGACTAGAAGACCTCCAAGGTTCCTTCCAACTCCGTTATTCTGTTAGGTGATGTAGGAAGATACCATGGTTCCAGCAGAAATGTTCATATGTAGCTCGGAGTTGAACTGAGTGCTTGGTACTCTCTGAGCTTGGTTATTTCTTGCAGGCATTTCATTACCCAACCTGGTAACATTTTCAGTGCTTGAAGGAGTAGGGTTTGAGATATTGTGATATATATAGTATCATATATATTTGTTTTCTGAGGTTATATATATATATATATATATATGTATATATAAATATGTATATGTATATGCGTGTGTATACACACACACACACACACACACACACACATATATATATATATACATACATATATATATATATATATATATATATATATATATATATATATATG